TTTTTTTTTTTTGGAAACGGAAAGCAACACTTGCTTCTGAACACGACTACTAGAAAAACGATGAATACGAATATCACTCGTGTTCGCTGAACTTAGCTCGCGCGCGCACTTTGCTCAACGCACGTTTCTCGACCGGTTGCGCGCCGGTCCTGATCAGGAGGCTCACCACACGCCCGCCCGCTTCCCACGGAGAAATGTGCACCACAAAGAATGAGGGCACGACCCACACAGCACTGTAGAATGGAGGCTCTTGTGAATGCAAGATGATGAATCAGATGACGACGACGACGACGACGACGACGACGAAGAAGAAGAAGAAGAAGAAGAAGAAGAAGAAGAAGAAGAGTGAAAACAGTGGCCATAGACTGCTTCTCGTTCAAGCATCGATAGGTCATCATTACTTCTCCGCATCTACAGATGAAGAAGAAGAAGAAGAAGAAGAAGAAGAAGAAGAAGCGAGATGGAAAAGACGAACGCACTTGAGGGTACGACTAGCATATTAAGCCGATCACGACCTCACGCCCACTCACGAAATTTCGAGAAGGAGAAGAGTCAATCGCGCAACTGAGGACTGTTGAAAGCAGCCGAGTAGCAGGCTGGGTGGGGATTCAAGTTCATTCGACAGCTTTCGGAAGGAGGAGGTGTGGGTGTGGAGAAGCATTCTCTGATCTGACAACTTGCGCGGATTTTCTTCGCGTCTCCCTTTTTTTTTTTTTTTTTGTTTTTTTTTTTTTTGCTTCTCCAATTTTCGACAGGCTGTGTGGCCAAGAGAAACTATTGAAAATTGAAAATCGTGTTTTGGACAGAGGTGTGGGGCGAGCGCCATACTCACACGAGGAATGTGCGGGATATATGTGACCGATATTTTCAAGTCCACGCTGGATGCACCTGACGGCAATTACGTCGACAGAGAAGAGGAATAAAGGTCGTAGTGACTTTATGTAGCTGCTCTCAAAGGAGTGGCTTTATGTGGCTGCTCAGACAATCAGAGGGATCAGCAGGAAATTGATATGGTGGGACCGTCGTAACAATCAAGTATTTACAAAAATAAATTCCTGTCTGATGCAGCTATCTAGACCCAGATCACTCAACCCATCCGACTGATCATCACCAGCGATTGGTCCAGAAGACGTCAACACTCGTGCAACACGGCCTCTGTTAGGAAATGGGTGATGGAGACGTGGGGAAGGAATACCAATCTAGTAGTTAAGTTGGATTCTTAAAAAAAAAAAAAAAGAGGATTCTTACTTCTTTTTTTTTCCCCCAGAAAACTCGTCAAAAAATTCCATGAAATAAGGCTAGAAACCTACTAGAAAATTCCAATTGGCCTAAGAATGGAAATTGAGAATTGAGGTACCGGGGCCATCACCCGGCTTTGACTCAGCCAATTAGATCTACTTCAGACATGCCTATGACAACTTCATGATTCAGAAACGACTCAGAAGGACCCCCATCAATCCACTTTACCTCCCTCCGGCAAGACTGACTGCAGCGGAGCCACCATCTCTGCTGCTGCTATACCATACTCCCATCCTACCAGCTAGCCCCCTCACTGGTAGGACGCGTGATAACCCACCATCTTCTCCCACTCTCCTTATTCTCTTCTTGTGTCATTACCGTTTTTTTACAGGGTTAGGCAAAATTCAGAAAACAACTCAGAAACCCCCCTTCAATCCTCTTTACCTCCCTCCGGCAMGACTTACTGCAGCGGAGCCACCATCTCCACTGCTGCTGTACCCTATTTCCATCCTACGAGCTAACCCCCTGACTAGTAGGACGCTTGATATCCAACCATCTACCTATCCCACTCACCCCTTTTCTGAGAAATTCACATCAATCGACTTTTTTTGAATTTGAACGAATTTTGAAAGATTAAGATCCGGGGCGAAGAAGAGTCTAATATACTAAGACAGTCACTACAGAAGCTTCTAATTAGGCAAAGTTCAGAGACCAACTCAGAAACCCCCCCATCCCCCTTCCCTTTCCACAAAAGGAAATTTGAAAACCTCTTTCGTTTATTTAAAAACTCCCGACAGGTGTGTTGCACGTTGCCCATGTTCCTGAAATTAAACCCAGTACCGAAAACCCTGAAATTTGAAAATCAGAGCCCCTTAATTAACTTGAAAGTCTGAACCCTTAAACCACCGGTCATTTTTTTGTTGCCGAACCCGAAGCCTGGGCCGGTATCCGAACCAGACCTGGCTGTGTTTGGCACCCCGGGGCTAGGTCCCACTTAGACGAATTAAGCGATATTGACCGTAGATAGCAAAGATCAACGGCCAGAATCTCTTAATCCGTGCAAGTGGGACCTTGCCCCCGGCCGAACCTGCACCGGGCCTGCGTTTCCCAGCCTGTCTGGGGCCCATCGTTTTTATATATTTTTTCTTCTTATTTATGTAAAGGGCGACTGCGGATAGGCCCCCAGTTGGTGGGAACTATCGTTTTTTTTTTTTTTTTTTTTTTTTTTCCTTATCGGTTTTACCAAATGGGAATTTTGTATTTTCTAGGTCGTTCGGCAGGAGGGGTGGTTTGATTGGATGGAACAAATCAGATGCAGAGAGTCCCATATAGTCCCAAAGACGTCCCTATCATTTCGCAGGCTCCAAAATAGGGCCATAATTTGAGGATCTAGCCAACAGGATGACATGTCCCACCGCCGCACTTTTTTTTTTTTTTTTTTTTTTTGGCTCCAGACACGTGTCTGTCTGCTGTTTCTTAAAATGGCTTATTAACCCTTGGATTTAAAAAGGATAGAGCCTTTTTCTTTTTTTCTTTTTTCCTTTTTTTTTGTTTTTTTAGCACCTTTTTTTTTTTCGAATTCAGATACCGAATATTTGTGCATCTTCAATTTTATCCTATTGTCCTGTTGTGCCGAACTAAAGACGTTTGCGAGGACTCAGAAAATTAGTGGGTTTAATGAACTTTAATCATCTAATTCACCTCGACTTCTACGAATAATAATGAACCCACTTTTCTGTATGAATTTTTGAAGACTAAATTTTTCTTTTCTTTCCTTTTTTGGAAAGTTAACGCGATAATAACGGGATGGTTTTACATGTTCATGTGAATTTTGTCTGCTTCTTCCCTTTTTTTTTAACGTTTTTTTCAATTCTTTGAAAATGAGGACAACCATCACTACGAATCTCGCTCCGCCTCTCTCGATTTTGTGTTTCTTTTTTTTTTTTTTTTTTTGTGTGTGTGTTTCTCAAGAGCGGTGCTCCGCTCCACCTACTCCTCTTGTTCAAATGTAAGGGGTCGACGGCCTTCTCCCTGAATGTGCAAAATGAGAATGAATCTTCTGCTAAAACATGGAAAGATACACCGCCATATTTTTTGTCTTTTGTGCATGTGGCCAGTAGTTGAGCGAGGCCCTATGTGGAGGAAGGGCCTCCATTTCACTGGGGGGAAAAAAAATGGAGTCTCTGATGAGTTCTCGAGTCAATCTCGATTTTTTTGAGATAAATAAAGAAATAGAGAATAGTGGAGCGAGGGCCTAGTATCTGATTTTTATCACTTAGGCCCTCGCTCCACTACTCACAAAAATGTACAAATGCGCCCCCCACCCCGCCCCCACCCCGAAAAAAAAAAAAAGAAGTACAAATGAGAATGAATCTTCCGCTAAGACACGGAACGATACATCTCCATAATTTTTGTCTTTCGTGCACGTGCTGCCGAGTAGTGGCGCTACCGTCTTCACCCGTATAGAACGCCCGGTAATTAACGCCGTATCTGGCCTGACAGTTGTGCCAAATACAGGTATAATGACCGGGCGTTCTATTCGGGTGAAGACGGGAGGCCCTTTGAAGAGCCGTTATAGACGTTGAAGTTTGGTTGCTATCTACCCACATTCCACTTTCAGCCCATCAGACAAAATAAACAGACAACCAGGCAGGCGGCTAAAAAGTTGACGTCTTGAAAAATCCCAGCATTTTCGAGTTCCTTTTTTTTTCTTTTTTTTTGGGTACATTTTAAGAAAACGACTTGTTTTTTTTTTGTTTTTTTTTTTTTCATTCACGAGTTATTTTTGCATATATAGACTTCAAGTCGTGAATGAAATAAAACTTTGAAGTCAGTTTAAAGAAAACGACATTTCAATTTTAGCCAAGCAGACAGAATAACTGACAGGCGAGACAGGCAGCCACGAAGTTGACGTCTTGAGAAAGCCAACACTTTCAGAGGCTTTTTTTCTTCTTCTTCTTTTTTTTTTCCCTTTCTCGGTGTGCTATTTTTAGAAACTACCGGTAGTTTGCATTGTTTCTTTATTTCAATAACAAAGTATTTTTGCATATTCATTTCGATTCTGTCCTGAATAAGGAACTCCCGATTTTATGGATACTCGTTTTGATTTTGTCCCCTCTTCCTAAACAGTTTCAAAATAGGGGCACCAACGATACATTCCTTGATTATTAACTTCGGCCGTTGGTTATCCACTCACATTTCAGCCTACTGGTAGCAGACACACATACTTGGTCATTGATGTGAGCAGAGGCAGGTAAAAAGTGGACCTTTTGTGGAGAAGCTGAGTGACACACAACTGCCAAGTTTTCGTCAACTTATCGATTGACAAGATGCAGTTGACTGCTGACATCATCGCGCAGTGCGCACTCCTTGGTCGTTGATGTAGAATGTGTCGAAGAACCTCGCCATGTTCCGCGCAACATCAAGAACTTGGATGATGGGTCATGGCCATCGTTGCCGGCATCGCCATCATCACCATCGTCACCGCCATCGCAGTCGTCGACTCACCAACACGATCACGGTGAGGACGCACACAGTCGGAGAAGATTTCTCGGAAGATTTGTCGGCTCGGGTCTGACATTCGCAGCGTCCTTTGGCAGCGCTGCGCGCAATGGACAGGTGAATGAAGGGTGGAATGTTTGGTGGGGATTGGCTCCTGCAGCAGCTGAGGAAGCACAGGATCCAGGGAACTCAGATGCAGTCGGCCAAGGAGAAGCCACTCAGACGGCAACGCCTGCACCGCCACCGACTGCGGCGTCCAGTGCCGCACCAGAGCAGGAATCTGGAAATCCCCTTGATAAGTTGACATCGTTCTTCGATCCGGATGAGGTTACGAAGTCTGGTCGTAAACTGCCCAAATCCTATGTCCGTAACGCGAGGGAGGTGATCAAGACTCTGCGTGAATCGTTCGAAGCGAAGGACAAAGATTTCGCTGGGTTCCGACGGACTGCAGATCCTGCCAGAGAGGCCATCCAGGTCTATTTGGGCAATTGGAGGGGAGCGAAGCAAGTTAACCAGGAGGTAGGGGGTTAAGAGATTCACAAAAGATACGTCACCTCTTACTAGGTCTTCTCCCTTTTTTGCCTTTTTTTCTGTTTAATTAAAGAGAAG